TGGGCTGGAGGATAGGAGTTGGAAGAGGTTTTACCCCGTTTTTAGAAGAGATCATTGAAGTGTAACTTATTGGGTTTTTAGCATAAGCCAGAATCAAGGTCTATTTAGTTCCCGTTGGTCCTGGTAAGACTTAGAATTACCTCAGTGGTCCCCAAGAGTTTAACCCCTTAGATAACTTACAGGACCTGCCTACTTTTCTCAGCTACTTTATGATTTCATAGATTAGGAAAATAAATTTCAGCCAGGCCATGGTGAGTGCACACCTATATTCCATCTTGGGAGGCTGAGGCAGGAGGATCGAGAATTCAAAGCCAGCTTCAGTAACTTAAGGAGGCTCTAAGAACTCAACAAGATCTTAAAAAGGGCTGAGGATGTGGCTCAGTGATTATTAAACCTCTCTGAGTTCAATCCCTGGTAATTTTCCCAAAGAGAGTTAGGAGGAGGGAATAGACTATTTAGAGAATCTCAGGAGAAGGGAGTAGACTAGAGAATCCAGTTTCCTGTAGAGAAAGATAAAGAGCAAAATGAAGAGACCAAAACCAAAGACTAAAGAAATCAATAAGAAACAAAGAAACACAAAACCAAATTATTTCTAGTTTTCTTTTTCCCTAAGCCTCAACTCTGCGCAATGCACTCACTCAACTTCTTCCTGACCCTTTGCAGCTTGTCTGTTCTCAGTAACTCCTTATCCCCTCAGATGAGAACCAGGAGCCGTCCTTCTGCTGCTTTGCCTACACCTCCCGAAAGATCCCCCCAAAATTCGTGGCTTTCTATTATGAGACCAGCAGCACATGCTCCTCGAAGGGTATCGTGTAAGTACTAGTCCTCCTGCCCAGCCCCGCCCCGGATGACACAGGACAGTGAGGGTGGGGGCTGCCTGCAGGAGTGGACCTAGGAACAGAAGGAGCCCACTGGGGGCTAGTGTGCATGCAGGACACAGCGGGGGGCTGCTGGGCTGTTTGTTGACATGGGCTGGGACCTGCAGGGAGGCAAGGAAGACCTTCCCAGAAATGCAGGGAAGAAAAGAGAGAAGGAGACAGCAGAAAGAAGTTCCATGCATCACTCAGGGAAGACTAGGGGGCCCCTGATATTCGGGGGATTATTTCTTGATATAAAGTATACCGGCCTCAATCTGCAAGTGGGAATGTGATCAGGATGGTCCTCACTCGGTCTCTAATACTTCTCCCCTCTCCATAGCTTTGTCACCAAAAGAGGCCGTCACGTCTGTGCCCGTCCCAATGAAGCCTGGGTCCAGGAACACATCAGGGACTTGGAGGGATCCAGCAAGAAACATTGAGAGGTGTGGGGAGATGGGGATCCAGGGGACTGTCCCTGCAACCCCCGAAGTCTTCTCTCCTATGGGCCCCTTCCCCCTCCACTAACCATACTCTGAAACCTTTCTTAATTTTTCTTGAGTTAATTAAATCAGATACTGTCAATCATTTGACCCTCTGGATGTTTCCTCTGAGAAATCATATGGCACCCTCTTTTCCTAGCCCTCTTCCCTGTCACTCATATAGTGGTTGATATGTACTTAGGGAGATTGTGAAAGATTGTGTCCTTCTTTCTCTAAGGCCTTACTGGACCAAATCCATCCATAGATACTGAGTTTTTGTGAACTCTTTATTGTTAAAAAAAAAAAAAGTCAGAATAATAAAAAATTCTTTTTATTTTTCTGAAGTAAACCTTGGGCTTCTGTCTATTCTTTTGTTTTTGTCTTCCTGACAAATCATGTTCATTGGCCGGAAGGAATGACGGCACCCAAGTAGGAAAGGAAAGCAAGAGAAAGAGGACAAGTGTCATTCCTGTGACACTCGGCTCTCTGCTGGTGACACGTTCCTCATGGGGCATAGACCAAGAAAAATATTAAAAACAAATGCAAACCTCCACGTACCAGGGAAATCACCACTTGAAGGCATACCCAAGCCAGGCATTCTGTCAAGCACATTTATGTATTTTCATAACTTAAGGGTCCTTGAGAACAAAGGCTAACTGTTTTTAAGGACTCTTCGGAACCATGACCTAGACTGAGATTTATACACATTGTCTACTCCAGTGACCCTCATTGACACGAAGGAACAGATTCAGAGACTTTAAGAAGCATGTCCAAGACAGATTGCTGTTAACATTGATCAGAACAAGGCCCACATTCACAATCAGCCCCTAGGAGAGTGTCTCTCCATGCGCCTCTGTTCCACTGTGGCACATCACATAATTCAAAGAAAAATCCAAAATGTTTCTACCCAGACTTGATCTCTAATTGCCTTCTCAGCTGACTGCTGAGAAAGCAACAGACTTGAGATGTCAAGTCAGAAAGAGGAATGGAGGGGCCACCCTGAGCCCAGAAATCTCCCTCCTGGCTATCTCCTTAATCATTTTGCCTTTCTCTAGAGCTTCCAAATCTGAAGAGGCCAGCTGGTCTCTGCCAACCCTGGTGTTGATCAAAGAGGAAACAGAAGTCTGAAGAGTTTCAGTAACTTCCCCTTGGCTATGTGATGAGCAGTGTTGAGATTTTAACCTGGGTATAGTTGGGGCCTTATTTGTCCTCCTTAATCATGGTCTTCGTGCCCCACAAGAATTAGCCTACCATGTCCTCGTGCCTGGGGGACTTTGAGAGATCCGGATACAGTCCATATCCCACACTCTCGTCCCTCAGACACATATCTCTCAAGGTGCTGTTCCACTTAGAATAGATTTAACCTGACATTCTCTGGTCCATGATGTGGCTCCAGCTCACCAGCTCCCTCTCTTGGGTGGGCAATGGCATGACGAGTCATATCCCTCTACATATTATTGTCACATCTTCACTTTTCTCTTGCTTATCACACTAAGTGTCAGGGTGCAGGCCAGGCCTCTCTGCTTGCCATCTCATTGATTCCCCTTCCTCCTGTCCAGCCACACTCTGGACCAATCAACAAAGGCACCGGGAGGATGCAATGCTTCTCCTGGAGATGATCGTTTTAGCATAAGAAGCAGCTTTCTCCAGCAAAATCAATCCCATGCAACACGTTAAGTTGCATATACAAATTAAGGAAACCAGAGCAGTAAAATTGCCCAAAATTGGAAAATAAATGAGTAACTTATTCATCAAATTAACTTCAGAACTTTGAGATTTAAATGAGAAATTCACACCTACTTCCCCAATTTTAGGAAGAGTATTCACAACTTTGATGGACTGACATTTTTTATATATCAAAACAAATGAATAAGAAAATAATAAAGAAATATTCTATGGTTTGTATAAATGTCCCCGAAAGGCTTATGTGCGAAAGGCTTGGTCCCCAACCCATGACACTATTGGGAAGTGGTGGAACCTTTAAGAAATGGGACCTTAGTGGGAAATCTCCAGGTCATTAGAGGTGAGCCCTGGAAAGGGATATTAGGTCTCTGCCTCCACAGCCCCCTTTTTTTTCTTTCCAGTAATAAAAGAAGCAGTTTTGCTTTGCCACATTCTCCTTGTCATGATGTGCTTCTTTGCAGCATGATTTTTGCTCCAAAAGCAATAGGGCCAATCAATCATAAAATGAAACTTATAAAACCATGAGATAAAATAAACCTTTTCTCTTCATAAGTTGATTATCTCAGATGTTTCTTACAGTGGCAGAAAGTGCATTCACACAACATTCCCGAGTATATTATATTAAATGCTATAATTTCATCTCTAAATGAAGTTTAAAATTTCTCTTTCCCATTATCCTTCCTTCCTATTATTAGAATTGAAAATAAATGTCCACCCAGAGGAGGTCTTGGTGGCATTGAATCCAACAGATCGGCAGAGGTGTTGGGGTTCAAGTGAAGAGTAAACTCCATGCCAATTGCTCCAGTAGGCAGGCAGGCCAGAGCTCCACACATCAGGACAATCAAGCTTACCTCTTCTGCCTTCTTTTTATTTATTTTTATTATTTTTTATTTATATATGACAGCAGAATGCATTACAATTCTTATTACAAATATAGCACGATTTTTCATATCTCTGTTTGTATAAAAAGTATATTCACAACAATTCATGTCCTCATACATGTACTTTGGATAATAATGTCCATCACATTCCACCATCATTTCTAATCCCCTAGCCCCTCCCTTTCCCTCCCACCCCTCTGCCCTATCTAGAGATCATCTATTCCTCCCATGTTCCCCCTCCCTACCCCACCATGAATCAGCCTCCTTATATCAGAGAAAATATTCGGCATTTGGTTTTGGGGGGATTGTCCAACTTCACTTAGCATTATCTTCTCCAATTCCATCCATTTACCTGCAAATACCTTCTTGCTATTTATTTCTTTTTTTTTTTTTTGTAGATAGACTTCTTATAGACTTATTTCTGTTCTGTCATAGATAGATAGATGCATATATACTTTTTAAATACAATCTATATTCCCTTCCCCACCAAACTCCAAAAGGAGATATAAATCTTTCCAGGATTGCCATTGGGCTTCCCAAGATGGTCAGAGCCAAGAAAGAACTATTTCTCAACATCTCAACAGCTGTCCTTCTTAGGCTCTAGAATCATTGAAGCAGCAGCATTCCCAGGATCCAAGGGGAAGATGGGGGAAAGGAAACTGTAGTGTGCTGGGACTCTAGAATGAAAGTGTCCAGTCACTCCCAGAATGGCAGGGACTATATTCTTACGGTAAGAATTCTGGTAGGGCCCTCACTCTTCAGATGCTAGCCAATAGGCACAGGTAGGGAGTAGGGAACAGGTATTTGACATGCAGGGAAAGGGTAATAGAAGGAACACTGGTGGCTTATGCTGGAGACTGAGCAACCTTCAGGACTACCCACCTACTCAATGACAGAAGTAATAAACAGGGACAGATGCTGAATTATTGAAGAAATAGAGAGGAGAGCATGACAAGGAGAAGGAACAATAGAACACATGGGAAAATCAAGTAGAGCAAAAAGTACCAATAAAAACATGACCTGTACTGGCCTCTTTCCTAGAAAAGATGTAATCTATGCTTTGGGGTGCAGGAGGTGAAAGGTCATGAATTAAGATTATCAGCTGGCCAGGGGCACAGGAAGGCTCTCTGAGGATTCCTAAGGGGCAGGTAGACAGGCAGCTGGGGCCCCATATCCCCAGGAAAGAAATAATGAATCCCTTCAGTTCGACTTGGACCAAATCTTGGCACTCCCTCAGAGCCCCTTCCCTTTTGAGGCCTTCTTGCTGGGCTGGCACTGGTTGATGCCTGGAGCTGGGTCCCTCAGTTCAGTCAGGTGTTGCTTGGGGTCCTGAGATGTGGCTGCAGCAGCTGCTGCTGTTGTAACTTTAGTGGTTTTTTTAAGGTTGGCAACCTCACTTTCAATCTGCTGCTTTAGGCCCAGCTGCTGCTCCTTGTGCTGGTTGGATGGCTCACTTGCTCCTTGATACCTGACAGCACAACCTCACAGCCTACACACCACTCCTGCAGGGTTCGGGCAATGGCACTAAGGTCTTGGCGCTGGATGTCCCGTCCAATGCTGTAGTCAACCTCTAGACGCTGATTGCGTTGTTCCAGTGAGCCGCAAAGCACATCAGCACATACAGCCTCAATCACCAGGTCTTCTAGCTGCCGCACATTATGCAGAGCAAGGGCTTCTAGCAACACTGCATATGGGATGCACTTGACTTTAGCAGCCAGGGTGACAACTGAGAGGTGTCGAAGTTTATTCTTCTGAGCTTCAGTGAGTGGAGGAAGATTCCTGGCTTCAGCTAAGTAGTCGGCATATGTTCCATAAGCAAACACTGTGAGCAGCCGGAATGTGGAAGCAAAGTCACTTTCAGACAGCTCTCTAACATTGGGCATATCCAGCAGTTCCCCAAACACGTTGACACCAGGGGCCTCCATCACCTGGTGGATGAGTGTGGCCAGCGCTGCCCCCTTGGCCGACTTGGCCAGGAGCAGAAATTGCTCCTGGTTCTGCCCTGTCACCTTCACCTCCGCACTCATGGCTGTACTGAGCTGTGGGAACCTGGGCTCAGGTTTACTGGAGCTGGAAGGTTCATCCAGCTGCTCTGTCACCTCCAGCAGCTGTTCCGAGCTTTTTCCTGCCACCTGCCCCCTCAGGGTCGCTCTAGCCCTTGCTATTTATTTCTTTATGTCCAAAGACTTGTTCGCAAATATTCTTACCAGCTTTATTCAAAATAGCCCCAAACTTCATTCAAATACAACCGAAATGTCTACCAAGTGGTGGATGGATAAACAACCCAGTGCAGTTGGTTCTGCTTTAACATGAGACATGTAATTTTAAAATATCACCACAGCATGCAAAATCATTCCTAAAACTCACAGGGATTAGGGAGAAGATAAAGTTGGGGCACAGCACTCAATTACTTCATCAGTGATACATTTGAAAAATAAAGCCCTAATAAAAACGGTATCACTGTTTTTACACGTTAAAATGGTTACCATAAAGAGGAGTTGCAGTTTGCAATTATTATGAAGTGGTAGAAGGAAGGTTGTTTGAACTCACAAGGATGTAACTCTAGTCGTGGATGTAGGTGTGGCTTATCACATGCAACAACCTGAGGTGGCTGGCAGGGCTTTTTAATGGGGGGGGGGTAAATTTTGTGAATTCTTACGTGGTTTTTTCATACTGCAAATGGAAAAGATTGTATTATACTCTAGTTTTTTTTCTAATACATCAATCCTAACAGTATAAATAAACCTACATTTTCTAAATAAGCATTATAGCAGAACTAACTATACATCTGTCATGTTTCGGATATTAGGAGTCCTCCAAATCTCCTGTGTTAATACAGGAATATCCAGAGGTGAAATGATCAGATCAGGAGGGGGGATATAAACTAATCAGTACATCCTCGTTTGAATGAACTAACTTGGGGGTGAATAACTGTAGGGAGGCGGGGCATGGTAGAGGAGATGGGTCATGGGGAGAGCCCTGGAAGGGCATGTCTTCTCTGTGGCCCTCACCCCATCTCTTGATCGGCTTCCTGGCAGCCATGAGCTAAGTAGCTTCTCTCTGCCGCATCCTTCTGCCATCATGTTCTGTCTCTTCTAGGGTCCATAGTGATGAGGTCAGCTAACCATCGATGAAACTATGAAACCATGAGCCAAAACAAACTTCTCCCTCTCTAAGTTGTTTTGTTTTGTTTTGTTTTGTTTTTGTGGTGGTGCTGGGGATTGAACCCAGGGCCTTGTGATGCAAGGCAAGCACTCTGCAACTGAACTAATCCCCAGCCCTCTAAGTTGTTGGTATCAGGTATTTTGGTCACAGTGACACAACATCCATACAATGGAATACTATTCAGCAGCAAAAAAAAAAAAAAAGACTCAACTATAGTTATGCACAACATGGGTAAATCTCAAAAGTATGATGATGATGAACAAATGAACCCGGCTACAAAAGTTACACAATGTATTGTTTCACGTCTACAATATTATGGAACAGGTGAAACTATAGAGACAGAAATCAGATCAATGGTTGCTAAGGACTGGCAACCACAGAGAGTGGTTGACTGCAAAAGAGGCATAGATTATACCCATGAAAATTACCAATTATATCTGAATTATGCCCCAATGAATATGACTCTCTGCCCTCACACATATATATATACAAATTCAGAGGGCTACATGTACAAAAAAAACAGAACAAAATAACTAAACTCCAAAAAGTGACCTACTGAACCCTAATCATAGCCATGTCTGGGTTGGCATGAAAGACTTGAATTCCAGGGCATCCCACACACGGAGCAAGTGAACGCCCATCTGCCAACTCTTTCCTACAAGTCTTCACTAAGAGCATGCAGGGTGAGCAGGTAAAGGCTGTGGGCAGCAGAGCTGAGAGGAAAGACCTGAGATATGTGGGGCCTTTACCATGTTCAAAGCAACTACATTCCAAAGGCAGGGGACTAGAACAACAAAAAGAAGTTCATCCACATCTTTCCAGGTCTTAAGCTATGCAAAGTGGAGGGTACAGCAGAAAAGCTGGGATAAGACCATTTGAGGCACTCTAGGTATTGAAGGTAAAGAGGAGGAAAACTGAAAGAAATCATTCTGGAACACTCTGGGCTTTCAGCTATTGATGTTGGGTCAATGAAAGTTTAAAGAAACCCCTCTGGTAGCACTTCAGCCCTTCAAAAATTGCAAAGTCTCTGCCTTTCAAAATCTATGGTTAGAGCAAAGAAGCAAAGAGAAATCTCTCAAGGTGCAGAAAGCTGACAATAGAACTGTAAAGAGAGATCACCACTGACCCAGATGGATAAATAGGCTATAACTTAGAAATATCTCCTGTGGTTTAGAAACTGGCTGCACAATGATGTCTTAAGAATCTTTCCATTGTTCCAATCCCAAACTCTTCTTGGGGGGAATTTTTCTTCTTGTTCCCAAACCCTTTCAGTTCGGGGCAACTTGGTTCAGGTTAAGGTTTTAACAAAGCCCAGATCCAATTACAGATAGATTGAATCAGCCCCACCCATTAGCAAAAGAAAATGTGTTGAGGGCTGAAATCAAGTCAAGATGGCGCCTGGCAGTTTGCCAGGAGGAGTGGTTTGTGAAGCAACACCACAGAGCCATTAAGATGGTGGAGATTCCTTATTGGCTGATTGCTGTATCTGGATGATGCTAATTGAGTCAAGCTGTGTGTAATTAGTTAGGTATATATACCCCTGCTGCCCCGCAATAAAAGAGTTCCCGTTTGAACCTTCAAGTTGCTTGTCACCTCCTGGTTATTTGCCCAGCCAGACTTCGGCAAAAATGCATGCCTATTATGGTTGCATTACTTGCTTCAGTCCTATTGCTCATTTATATAAAGTGCCCAATATGCAATCAAAATTATGAGACATGGAGAACCAATAGAACATGATCTGTGACCAGAAGAAATAGTCAATGGAAGCAGAACCAGAAATTGCTTAAATGTTGAAATGATCAAATGAGGACTTAAAAAAATGAATGTATGACTAAAGATTTGGTAGAAAACATGGCCAGTGTGAATGAAGAATTGGAAATTTTATCAGAGACACTGAAAATCTTCAAAAGAATCAATTTTTAAAAGGAATGTTAGAAATAAAAAAAAATTAAGATTTTACAAGTGATAGGCACATTAACTGGGCTACAGAAGATTAGACCAGGCAGAGAAACAGATGGATAAACTTCAATGTGGATCAAGAAACTAAACTGAGACACAAAAAGAAAAAAATATATATTAAAAATAAAAAGAGCACATGGTAGGAAAGGTAGGTAGGAAAACACCATAAAGAGTAACATACATAAAGTTGAAATTCCAGAAAGAGAGAGCCAGAGAATGAAGAAGAAAAAGAAATTGAAAATGTGATTGATGAAAGACACTGAACTACAGATCTAACATTCTTAGGCATCCCATGCAAGATACATACAGAGAAAATGAGAGCAGGGCACAACATCACCAACTGCTGAAAATGCAAGATAAAGAGTAAATCATAAGAGCAGCCAGAGGGGGGAAAAAGTTATTACACACAGCGAAACAGCACTGCAAATGCTAGGTAACATTTCACCTCGCAAAATGGGGTATCTTTAAGGTCAAACTAGAATTCTATATCCAGTAAAAAAAACAAACAAAAAAAAACTAACCTTCAGAAATGAAGACAGAATAAAGACATTTTCAGCTCACAGGCATTGCTGAAAGAAGTACTTAAGGCTTAAAATAAATACTATCAGACAGAATGCTAGATCTTCAGGAAGTAATGAAGAGAACAAGGAAGGACAAATATCCATGCGAACACAAAAGATTCTGTTTTAACATTTTTATATAACATATCATATGGCAATATCAACTGCTTAAACAAGAGGAACATTAAGCCTAGCAGGGTGGTACATGCCTATAATCCCAGCTGCTTGAGAGACTGAGGCAGGAGGATCAAAAGTTCAAAGCCAGGGCTGGGGTTGTGACTCAGTGGTAGAGTGCTTGCCTAGCCTGTGTGAGGTACTGGGTTTGATTCTCAGCACTGCATATAAATAAGTAAAGGTCCATTAACAATTTAAAAATATGTTTTTTAAGAGTTCAAAGTCAGCCTAACAACTTAGCAAGTCCCTAAGAAACTCAGTAAGACTCTATCTAAATAAAATACAAAATAAAAGGACTGGGGATGTGCCTCAGTGGTTAAGTACCCCTGAGTTCAATCCTCGGTACAAGAAGAAGAAGGAGGAGGAGGAGGAGGAGGAGATCATTAGCGTAAGATGTATGTATTTATAGAAGTTAAACATAAGACAACAGAAGTACAGACTTCTGGGAAAAATAGTTGCATGCATGGTACATATGTAGTCTTTCTTAAAAATATTTTCAGTCTGTAGCTGGTTGAGTCCACAGATATGGAGTCCACGGCTATGGAAGGTTATTTATTGAACAGAGACTTTGAGTACTGGAGATTCATCCAGAGTTCATCCATAAACAAGATGCTAGAGAGTTTAAGCAAGCAAGAACTCAACTGTGTATCCATCTGGTCCTGGGCTTTTTTTGGTTGGTAAGCTTCTGATGGCATCTTCTATTTCATCACTTGATATTGGTCTGTTTAAATTATGTATCTTCCTGATTCAATCTGGGCAAATCATAGGACTTAAGAAATTTGTCGATGCCTTCAATGTCTTCTGTTTTATTGGAGTATAAGTTTTCAAAATAATTTCTAATTATCCTCTGTATTTCTGTAGAGTCTGTTGTGATATTGCCTTTTTCATCTCGTATGCTGGTAATTTGAGTTCTCTCTCCTCCTCTTTGTTAGCTCAGCTAAGGGTCTGTCAATTTTATTTACTTTTTCAAAGAACCACCTTTTTGCTTTTCAACTTTTTCATTTGTTTCTTTCCTTTCAATTTCATTGATTTCAGCTCTAATTTTAACTATTTCTTGCATTCTACTGCTTTTGGTGTTGATTTGTTCTTCTTTTTCTAGGGCTTTAAGATGTAGTGTGAGGTCATTTATTTGTTGACTTTTTCTTCTTTTAAGGAATGAACTCCCTGCAATGAACTTTCCTCTTAGTACTGCCGTCATAGTGCCCCAGAGATTTTGGATA